TTTTGCCCATCGGAATCCCGATCACTTGTCTCAGCAATACACCGGTAGCATACGTATAGGTATGCTTCAACTCAAAGCGCACAAATTTGACCAAGTCGTCAAAGTCTAGTTGTCTCCAATGGTCGGAGCTAGTGGTTTTACCAAAGGAAGCACCTTTGCCCCTCGAATTCACGGGCACAAAAAACCTCCCTTTACTTCAATAGTGATCCACAATCCAAGAAACAGCATTTATGATCTCCTCATGGGTGAGTTGGCTGAACATCTCCTTGATGTCATAGGAGGCCGACTCGATTTCCCTTTCTTACCATGGTCGATCTTCTTATTGATGCGCTGTAATCGATCAGCAAGATTCAAGACCGCTTGAAGGTTAAAGTGGCTGTTAACAGGCAACTGAAAAAGCAAATGGTTCAAACCCTTAGCCACCATTCGTCCAGTCTTCACCATCGGTTCTTTAAAAGTGGGACATATCGACCGGAAGCGATTAGTATCTTTATGTTTCGGCAGAACATAAGATACTCCAAAATGGCCATTACAATCCCAACGCACAAACTTACTCAAACCTTCCTCACGTACATCATTTTTCACACAAGCTAATACAACACACAACTTGATAGCCTGGGCTTAGGACGAAAGATCCCATCATTGCCTTCTGGTATACAGAAGGACACATCACTAGCGTTTCACCGACGTTCCGATCGAGGGGGGTAAGTACAAACCCCTCAAACTCCTTTTTAACTGACATGACTTCGTCAAGTGAGATCTTGTCAGAAACATCCTCAGTTGGGACAAAACAACGATGAAAATCCAAACCAYTGAAACCAGGCATGGCTCCTTTCAGGTTATACCAATTCGAGAAGCCAGAGACAACTTCCTGTCGTAACAGCATAACACGGTTCGGAGCATCTGGTTGAAGAATATCATTAGCATTTGCTAATTTCTGGTGTCGAAGATTACCATCACAAAGTCGGAAGCAAACATGACCATCCACTTTCGGACGGGATGATCCTGCACAAACGCAGGTAGAAGTCTCACGAGCAGCACAGGCTCGCTGATTGTGGAGAAAGTGTCCGATCGATGGGTTTTTAACCCAAACGATTCGAACCTTCTTCTGTGCCCGCTTACGAAAACAGTCAGGTAGATCACAACCCATAATAGCATCGTTAACAAGCTTCCTCAGTTCAACTAATCTAATTCGGTCATCATACTTCACACGGATTACGAGATCAGCAGACATATTAAAACCAAACTTGTCACGGATCACTCGAGATAACAAGCGTCTAAGGTACTTCCTCGTGGATTTCTTACTGAAGCCTTTAATTACGTTATACAGTTTCATCAAAGACTTCAGTCCCCAAGCATAAAAATCAGATATACTCCTCGGGTTCCTCAAAATACCAAACAAGATAGCCTTAAAAAATCTAGCCTTTGGCTTCCAAATGCGCAGATACTCGATCACAAAGGTACCACCCTTCTCAAACACATTTTTACAAGCGTGAAACAACAGAGTACTTTTACCGTGCTTAACCGTAGAATCCCCAAATTTCTTACGCAACTTCTTCCACCCACCAACCCAAATATTACCTTCGCTGGTCGTGATGGTCAACCTTAGTTGACTACTTTCAAAACTCTCAGTAAGTGCATCAGTCAGATTCAGAACAGGTCGGTCGGCAGTACCAATGCGGAAAGATAATGGTCTAATCACTCGTTCCTTCGTATCCTTGCCCTTACGTTCCTTATTCCCTTTCCGGTTCTTCTTCCTCCCCTTACTGCTCTTAGCACATCCTGCACAGTTCAAAAATGGTGACCACTGTTTGATATACAAATCTTCGAGATTCAGTAGATCATTAGCAGTCGTGTGATYWATCGRAATTAACACATAATTCTCTAACCCAAAGGTGCATAACMATCGGTGGAAGTGAGAGCGTTTCGCGCTACCACATTTCGAGCGGTGCTCATGCCATCGTGTATCCACGTTGCGTGTGGTCTTTCCAACGTACTGATATTTACAGAAAGGAGAAACAGCGATGTATACAACATTAGACAATGAAAGAAAGTTGATACCGTGTGTATCACACAAACATCGCCACGACTCAACAAGCTTACCTTTTCATCTGATTTCCTTTCTGCAGCTCAATACTAAAACACACACAACCTGAGCAGTTCTTCGGCTTCATGGTCAATAGTCTTCAAATGTCTTCTGTATTCCGTAACATAGTCCACAATCCGCCAAATCTCGTCTAATCGGTAAACACATCAAGCCTCTTGTTCCGTGACTTCATCATTAGCAGTTGCCGATTCTTCATCCGGTTGGTCCGCAACAATCGACAGATCGATTGGTTCGATGTCGCCAAAATGAACCCTGGTACGGTAACTCGCGATATCGAATATCGAGTCAACTTTGCCGTTGTAAGCCACTCCTTCATCCTTGCAGGTCCCCTCAAGTTCCAAAGCTCCGAGAGCTCGAAGGTCTTCCATTTGTTGGTTACGAAAGCGAAGTTTCTCGACAGTACTTGGTTGTCCTGGGGTCTTCTTAAGCTTTTCCACATATGGTGATAACTTCGTCTTCACCTTCGCCTTCGACCTAGTAGCATGGCCAGGAGTACGCACAACCTTCTTCTTCGTATCAGTCCGACGTGGCTTGCGCTTGGCCGGAGTCAAAAGAGGCGGACTATCATCGAAAACTACCTCAGGTCCCCTTTTCCTCTTCTCATGGATAGTCAGGTTCTTAGTACGAGCTCGGATGTCCTCAGTAGCGCGTCCCCCACTATCATCATCTGAGTTATCAGGTACTCGTACTGGTCGCTTCGCTGTCCGAGTCTTACGAACGAACTCCAAAACTAATCCAAGATTTGCCTCCATGCGATCGAAAAAGTCCCCGGTCTTAATCGCTAGTTGGATCTCCAACTTCTTGTCAATCTCGGCGTCACTTTGCTCATCTTTCAACTTCTTCTCATTGTGTCGTTGTTCCTTCCTTTTCCGTGCCTTCCTCTCTAACTCCAATCGTTCCGCTTTCGCGTCAGCTTCTAGACGTAACCGCTCCTTCTCAACTTTCCTTGCCTTCTCAGCCAAAACAAACTCCGAGACCGATGCAAGGCTCTTGTTCAATTCCTCAATCTTGTGTCGCAATTCCTCAGATTCTTGTTTGGTGGCCACACTCGTCGTACCAAAGCCCTTTCTCGGGGATGCCGATCGACCACGGTTCACATCGTACAACGTCGACAACTTCACTTTCGGTGCACGCTAGCGATTCGGACAATGATCAGCGTAATGACCAATTTCATTACAGCTAAAACGACGTGGAGGCGAGCGGTGTCGATCATCCCTCCTGTCATCTCGTCGGTCAAATCTGTGGTGGCGGCCACAATTTTCACTACTTGATCTTCGTCTTCCACGATCGTAGTCGCGTCGGTCTCCCATTGTCACAATGAACAACTTCAAGGTATCACCAAGATGCTTGGCTATAACCCAGCTTCGAAAAGCAGTAAATGAGCCAGAAGGTAGGAGCAAAGGCAAGAAAAGACGAAGAGATAGATGGTTCGGATAGAAATCACGCTCACTTAATCTCAGTAATTCTTCCCCAAGCGAGTTGACGTGTGTCGTAGTAGATATTAAAAGATAACATGGTGAAAACATTATGTCAACAAAAAATCATAGAGCAGTTCAAAAAACGAAACAGTTCGTCAGCCGAAAAGTTTGAGACAAATCGTAAACGAAGATAGTCATCTCAAATTAAAAGATAGAACGATTTAGCACACAATGAATAAGATTTGGCGTCCCCGACGCACGTTTCGGCAACAACCGTGTTGCCTCCTCAGGGGTTTTTTTCCTCCAACTTCCATCCCGAAGCTACTCCGTTATTCCACTTTCCCACTTCCGTCACTATCACTAGACGATATACCGGATACCGCATAGCTACAGTACCGTTAGTCCCATCGTAGAGGTCGACTATCCTGATAGTGTTCCTATTTATCACAGACAAACAGTGCCGAAAAAAACAAACAAGCCAGCCAGAGTACCGGGTTTCCCTCTACCCTCAAAACCAAGGACCACCGTGGGTTACTCAAACCGTCCGTAAACAACAAATCAAAACGCAGTCAACTTGAAGGGGCCTAAAAACAACCGGTAGCACCCATCAGGGCGCCCAGGCCCTCAAATCAGAAGTCCAAAAATAGTCCTATCAGAAGAAAAACAAACAACAGGGTCAACCAAAAATGAAAAGAAAAGAAAAAGAAAACCCTGTCCAAAAACAGTCCTAAGAAAAGAAAAACAAGAAAAGAAAAGAAAAACTAGAAAAGGAAAGGAAAACAAGGAAATAGAGAAATAGCGACCCATAACCGAGATGCACAGACCTGAATTCGAATCCAGACTATATATTCTCTTCCCACGCCCACCATGTACCTCTGCATGATGTAGGGTCCTAGCTTATACGCTCTAGGGATCCTTCGGAAAAGAGGCTGCCGCAAGTATGATGCCAATGTTATCACACAGATGGCCCTTTTAGGGCCTGTCCGGTTGGGGTACAGGTTCTTAAAAAACATCAGCATTATTTTTCTGGGGTACCCCAGGCCCAAGTAAACGGCCTGGGAACCCCAAAAAAAAATTCGAATTTTTCAAAATTGAGGTCCAACCGAACCCGGACACCGCACACCAGACTGTCTGGATTGGGATCCGGACGTCCGGTTGGTAACCATGGTATATATTCTTAATTATTATGTTTTATAAAAAAAAATAATTTTTTATTTTTTTATTTATTATTTTCTTATTTATTTATTTATTTATTTACGGACTGGCTGGGGGGGGAACAAGGGGGTTGGATTGCGGATGTGCAATAGAAGGGGGGGGAGGGGGCAGATCAAGGAAGTCTCAGAAGGGATTACCGCCTACGGTTTCATGATTGGACCAAGATTGATCCAACTATTCCGCTGCGTCCACTCTCAGAGTTCCCTCATCCCTTCCCATCGCCTGCGCACTCATTGGTGGAATCTCAATGGTACTCGGGAGTGTAAAAGGAGGGCGTGTAACGAACCACTTCCCGAACCCATGCTATCTTTCATACCCCTGTTTCTGTATCATATCAAACCCGTTAAGAACCCATTTTTGGCTTCTTGTTTTCGGATGCTGCATTTCCTTTTTTTTCTGGAAGCTTTTTCGATTTCCGGGTTCTGTTTTTCCTTTTTGCAAGACGGGAAATACATGGGAATTTACGTGCGTCTTAGCGAGCGCACGGGGAATTGGGCTTGGCGGTTGGGAATTCCGGGATAAGCGGAACTTCGACTTGTCCTTTTTGTATGTGTGAATGTTCTTGGTCGCGTCGGGGAAAACTCTCGGAATTTTGCGCGAATATGAGTAGGCGTAGAATTTTCCTTTCCCTCGTCCCCTTTTCGCGCGCGGATATGGTGATTTCAATTTTGAATTAGGATAGAAGCAAGCTGTAACTGTTTCGGTGCCCTTTTTCTCTCTTTTTGTTGACAGCGCTGCGTATGCCGAGCTTTCTCTTCTCTATCCCCCGCATCGCTCCCTCCCGCGCTTCCCTTCCCTTCTCCCTCCTTTTTCTCTCTTCCCGTAACTGTTTTCCTTCTCTCTCTCTCTCTCTCTCCCGCCTTGCTTTTTGCGCGCCCATTTCCCTTTCTTGATCATCTGAATCTTGGACCCGTCTTGCGCTACTTCTCGCGCCTTTTCTCTTCTCACCCTCTGAGTCTGGCGCACGACGCCCGGTCGATCCATCGATAACTCCCGATCGCCAATCAGGTGTGCGGATCAATAGGACCTTCCTATTGCGCGGCGAATCTGATTGGTTGAACCTTGAGTTTCGAGGGATCAACATGGCGTTCATAGAGCACTCCTCTCAAAGTCTTCTCCTCCTGCTTCTCCTCTTACACCTCAGCCTTCCCGTCGCCTTCTCCCCTTTCTATCTCCCCTGTCGCAACTATAAAACCCGCAAGCGCGCCCGCAAATCTCTCTTACGTTCTCGACTCTTAAGCTAGCTTCCGGGAAGCAGTGGCTAGGTAGAGTGTTTGAAGCGAGTCGGACAGTCCTGTCGGGATGACGATAGGCTGGCCGGTTGCGCGCTGGATCGCCACGACGGACTGTGGGATCCGGGCGGACTGTGTCGAGTTTACGACAGTGGGGTGACGATCGCAGTGGTGGGAGTGAGCACGCGACGGTTAGGATCGTCGGTGCGGGAATGAGGATCGATGATCGGAGTTGAGTGATTGGCCCGGGGCCATATTGGAATTAACGACGAATGCGCCTTTGTTGCGGATTGTTATCTTTAGCGTGAGTGTACGGCGGCGACGCCGAACTTTTCTCTTTCTGGACCTTGTCATCTTCTATTTTGATTTTTTTTCCCTCGACTCTCTCTCTCTCTCTCTCTCTCTCTCTCTCTCTCTCTCTCTCTCTCTCTCTCTCT